TCAGCCAAGAACTAAAAAAGCAGTTTGAAAAAATACCCATAGAGGATTCTAAAAGAAGTTATCAAAACTTCTGAGACTACTAGACAGTGGGAAGCCAATGTGATATAACATATCTAAAACTCATTAGTTTTTCCTTAGGAAACATTATATCAACTTTCACCTGTTAATCAACATGAAAAGAAATCTTATTATAGAATTATGACAAAATGTAATATGGATGAAGAATTTTAAAAATAAAATGCACACATTTATGGACTGAAAGTTTATATATATATATATATATATATATATATATATATATATATATATATATATATATATATATATATATATATATCACTATCATTCATAAATGCTCATTTTGTGTCATTATTTTGTTCCTTCTCTTTTTTCTACACTTAATTTTGTGATTCCTAAACAGGAGTACAAATACCGACACCCATTGTTATAAAAAATCCCTCAACTACAGCATATGTAATACTGTAATTCTATAATTATACAAAAGAAGAAAACTTTTTCACAGTAGAAGAAAGAAAACGGAATTCCTGTGATGTAAAAATGTGTTGATATACAAATGCTCTTATCCTAGCTATAGATAGGGCATGTAACTATGAGAAATATGTGAATGAAATCAGGAATCTTCTGCTCTCATTGCTAGGTATACTTTGCAAAATATATACTTTGCAATGTAAATAGCATCAATACAATGAAAGACATTCCTATATAAATGAAACAGTATACATACCCATCTGCAAGAACACATATACACATAGCTCACATACCCATTTGCAAGAACACATATACACATACACACAAACCTCACATACCTATTTCCACACACATAAATATACACACATAGCTCACAAAAATATGTATGCAGTCATCCACCCATATTCACACACATATGCATGTATTATGAATTATGGATTCATGAATGAAATTAAAAATATGTGAAAAAAGTAGGTATCCACTTGGGAATTCAGATGAATAACAAGAATTCTTAACCCATAAGTGATGATATAAATTTCTATTATGCCACAACTTGTATCTTTAAATAGCCACTATAAAACTATATAATCATCTCTCATCTGAGAGAATATGAAAATTCTATCTCCCCAGGCTAAAAAGAAAAGAGGCAACGGGATACTCAGGGCCCCTGCTCAATTACAATACAAGATGCGACTCAAGTAAGTGAGGCAGTCAAGCTACAATCTCTCCTTTTTGATCAGCCTGTTATGAAACTCCTTTAGACCTTTACCTCTTATCTGGAAGTATATGAAAACTCTACAGGGTATATGTTTTGGTTATTTATCATCTCACTACAGTGTACAACAGCTGAATTAAAAAAAAAAAAAAAAAAAAAAAAAAAAAAAAAAAAAAAAAATCAGAATCTTTTTCTTATGACACCAAGATACTTCCACCTTTCCATTTCAAATATTTCTCTTTTTTGTATATTTAAAGTGAAAACCACCTGAAGTCCCATCAAACTACAGACAAATATCCTTAATCAACAAATGTGTAATTACATCTATTGAGGTGCAGTCAACTGCCAGTTTTAACTCTTATATCTGAAACACATGGCAGTATTACTAGGAGTATGGGTTTTAAATAGGAGAGACAAAAATATACTATTTTGTGTATTAAGAGAATACTTCCTCTTTTTAACCACTTGTATATTATTTTGAGTCTCACTCTCCTATGACTGCACAAATCCAAGAATATTTCTTTCTAATAATTTTGATGCTATTTAGAGTCCTATCTCTCTCAGTTATCTGAAGCAATTACAAATTAATTCCTCTTTCAAACCTGTTGCACATTACTCAAGTCCCTCTCTCTGTCTATCTGTCTGTTTATCTAACCAGTATGTACAGAATCTTATTATTCATGATATCCATAAAACATATGCATCTGTGGATTTAGGTGTAAAAAATCAATGAATATCCAAATATTCAGATGACTATAAAATTCTGAGACCTAAAAATTCTCTAAACAGAACTATCCTAACATATCAGCACTTGAAAAGGACATTTATAGAGGAAAGTTCACCATATTCCACAAATAAGAAAGACATGCAAAATCTGCAATAACACAAAATAAGAACAAAGGAACTTTTTTGATAATTTATAAGAAATTAGGATATCAACTTAAACACATTAAAACCATTGACTATCAGCAGAATAACTGAATACTCTACACTGGTGATATGGGGGCACCAAATTCAGGTAAAACAAGTATATGTCACCTAATGAATGTAATCTATTTCAAGCACTGCAAAATTAACCATCTGTTTGTAGTCTCAGCGCGCATTAAGCCTCTATAAGTAGTGACTGTTGGACTGGCCCAATTGATCACTCATGTGAGTTACCTAGACTCCTTACCAATTCATTACAATGCTATGGACTGTAAAGTCCTTCTCACTCCAAGTGATCTGTGCACTCAAGACTAGATGTCTCCCATCACCTGTGATTCGACAACAATTTCCAATTACATGTTCCCGTCA